TATATATATATATATATATATATATATATATATATATATATATATATATATATATTTAATATAATAAAAAATAATTTAAAAAATAAAAAATATATTATCTCGATCATGAACGAGATTACAATTAGATTAATCTTTTATAAATAGATAATGTAAAAATATCTCATGATTTAAATAATTTTAATTAAATTCATGACATTTTATATCAACACAAGGTGAAGGGTGTGAGAACCATGACGGTTGTTCCACCTACCATGCGCTTTAGGACCGTCCTGTTTAAAGCACTCGTGGTTCTGTCTATGCAACCTAAACACCAAAAAGAGACATTAGCTGTTGAATTTTAAATATAACGAATTTAAATTAATTTTTTAAAAATAGAAAAAGCACTTTTCCTCTTTTTTTTTTTTCTTTTTTGTGTGGTTGCATGCAGCTGCAGCAGAAGAAACGCGTACGTCCTTCTTACGTGTGGCTCAAAGATGACCACACACCTTATTGGGCACCAGGATGTGGTGGCCCACCAGTATAAAGCGCTGGATTCCTTCAACATGCATCAGTCTGTGGGTCCCTCCGGCTCTCCCCACTCGACGCATGAAACTGTCAATCCGTTGAAGTCAAACCAAACTTACAATAGAATATCTTATGTTGCTTAATTGAAGTGAGTAGGGGTTTTAAACATCTAATTCAGGAAAATAATCGTGAAATAAAAGAAAAAGTCAAACAAGAAGGTAAGTCAAAGGAAGATAACCGGACATACAAATAGAATTATTTGGTTTTACATGAAGAAAAAGGATAAAATTGATGTCAGATTTTGATTACTCCGTAAAAGGAAACAAGAGCTGAAAAAGTAGTCTGTCTCGCTCTCTGCACCGGGCGGTGAAACCACACCCGTCGCCCACGGCATCCATTTAGTCTCTAACGGTGTGCTCACTAATTTCCGTAAATACCCCCACCTCAATGCATTTATTTTCAGGTGTCTTTTCTCACTCTCATGTATATTATAGTCTTTTTGGTCATTTTGACAGTCAACGACGTCCAGAAGCATCGCTTCCTGATAAATCAAAACTGGCGACTAAAACCGTTTGGGTGGACTAGATGGGTTCCGACGATGTAATGAACGGCAGATTAAGAAGTCGCATAAAAGATAGCATGTGCGGAAGCGTGAACGTATCATCCACGGTACGGTCCTATGCGGGGTCGACGTTGGAGGAAAGATAGGGGTTATAAGTATCGCCCACTTCGCTCTCCGCTCGTATGACCGGAGGCTTCGGGAGAGGGACACTGCGAGGAGGAGAAAGGAAACATCAGAGAGGTCTCTCGCCTAGATAGAAGCCGAAACCCGACACCAGGAGAAGCTTGGAGAGACGAGGGCGAGAGAGGAAACTCGCTGTGGATCGGCGACCGAGGTTGGAACTTCGATTTGCTCTTCGTCCTTTGAAGGTACCAATCGCCGGCCGGATCCGTCTTTTTCTGATCTCCATTTCTGTTGTTTCCTATCTCCATTTAGATATCGTTTGGTGTTATTATGGCTGCCGTGGTTCTGTTGCTGATTCTTGTCGTTGTCATGTTTGGGGTTAAGTGGGATCTGACTAAAAATTCGAAGGGCTTTTCACACTGTTGTCGTCGTCGTCGTCGTCACATCGTTCTCTTTCCGAACAACATTTTGTTTGTTGATGTTCCAGCTTAGCTTGTCATCGTTATCGGGGGCTTCTGTGGTTTTTAGGGAGCTTTTTGTAGGATTGACCTCACGAGAGCTTTTCTGAATCGAATTTTTTTTGGGGGCTTAAATGGAGTGTTTGTTTGAGGTATGGATTTGTCAGTCTTAAAAGATCAAATATAATGTTGGGATCTCTTGATATCTGATCATGGAGATAATGAAGGCGTTTGCTTAATTTTGTTTGTTTGTTTGTTCCAATGTGTTACTAAACTTGGTTGTTTCATTGTGCCTTCATGTTTTTTACTGTTGTTATATGAAGTTATTTACCGATTCCAAGGAAGAATGTGTCATTTTAGATATACTCTTTGGTGTTCATCTCTAAATAATAGAGAATATTTGATAAAAATTATGTCTTTTGATAATTTTGAGGAAGATAGTTTATTATGAGCTGATTTTAAAGAACTGCTAGTCTCCGCGTAGAACTTGACTTTGTCACGATTTTGACAAAACAATTGTGCTTTTGGTCCTACTAATAGTCATTTGCGGTCTATAATTGACAGTATGGTTGCATCCGTGGCGGCGGCCTTCTTCCCTGTTCCATCTTCCTCTTCCACTGTCTTAGCTCAAGCATCGAAGAGCATTGGTGATGGCCCTCGAAGTTTGGGCATTCAGGGTATCGTTGCCAAACCTAATTCATCCTCAGGCGCAATGGAGATTAAGGCGCAAGCACAAACCCTTCCTAAGATCAATGGTACAAAGGTTGACCTGAAAACCAAAGAGCATAAGGCTGATGAAGAAGAAGTTGCTTCAGTCCCAAGGACATTCTACAACCAATTGCCTGACTGGAGCTTTCTGTTTGCTGCCATAACAACCATTTTCTTAGCAGCTGAGAAGCAGTTGACGCTGCTTGATTGGAAGCCCAAGCGACCTGATATGCTTGCTGATGCATTTGGGCTTGGCAAGATTGTTCAGGATGGGATGGTTTTCAGGCAGAACTTTTCCATTAGGTCATATGAGATAGGGGCAGATCGAACAGCTTCTATAGAGACTTTAATGAATCACTTACAGGTAGGTAAAAAATTCCTGCTGTGAACACTGTGGACGCCTTCACCCTTTATCATTCACACCATTACATCCTTGCAGGAAACAGCACTTAACCATGTAAGGAGTGTTGGTCTACTGGGTGATGGATTTGGTTCGACACCTGAGATGAGTAAGAATAACTTGATTTGGGTTGTCACGAAGATGCAGATTGTCGTAGAACATTATCCTTCCTGGTAAAACAATTATTCATGTTCTTGAACAAAGTACTAGTAAAATTTACAATTCTTTTCTTATCACTGGTCAGGTTGAATGTTTTGAGAAATTCTGTAATTGTACAAATAAATATGGTCCTGCACTCATAGCTCGCTGTTAATTTTTCCATTTTTCTGATATTCTATATATACCCTAGAATAAGTCATTAAACAACTTTGTTCGTTTTTTAAGTTTTGTCTAATATGGTCTGTGACGTGAGATGAAGTTATCTATTGTAGACGCAGGTGAAATGCTATTTAAAAAAATGAAACTTTTTTTTTATTATTGTTAGACAAATTAGTAATGCTTATTGTCAATGGTGTTATAAGCCATAACTAGGATGTTGATGCAGTTTTGGCACATTAGATGCTTTGTTCTCTGTTGTCACAGGATAAGCTGTTAAGTTTTGGCTATTCTGAATTTATGCAGAAACTGGACATGTCACTGATGGGATCCACAACTGTATAGTTTATGCTTCCTGAAACTTGTTATGTTTTGAATGCTAGTACATCTCTGAATTCCTCCAGCATGATTTTGCTAAGTTGCTCAAACTTTGCCATTGGTCAACAAGAAGGTGCTCATTATGGGTTGTCCTTACACCAAAAAAAGTGAAGATATGAATTTGTCTAGTCAAGACCACAATCTTGATAGAAACTGGACTTGGAACTTCTGTACCTTCTTGACCTAGTTGCTTTAGTCAAATTCATAGCCTTGACTTTCGGTGTTTTCTTGTAGAACATGTCATCTGCTGTTAATTTTTCTATTTTTCTTGTCAAAACAGTTAATTCTAAGCTGTTAATTTCAATTTGTATCTTCAATTTGTCCAGGGGAGATATTGTTGAAGTAGACACATGGGTTGGTGCTTCTGGGAGAAATGGGATGCGCCGAGATTGGTATGTTCGTGACTATCGGACAGGTCAAACTATACTGAGAGCTAGCAGGTTGGTGCTAGTCTTTCCTTACGTTTGACATTCAATCTGGGAGTGAATCGAGGATTGATTATCTGAACAGAATCACATCTACCTTCATTTTCATTCTTGTTTGTCAATGTTATGCCACCTATTATTATCTAAATCTTTTCCACTTTGGTCATCACATGCAGTGTCTGGGTAATGATGAACAAACACAGTAGACGTTTGTCCAAAATGCCAGAGGAAGTTAGAGCAGAGATAGAACCTTATTTTATGGTGAAAGCTCCTATTGTGGAAGAGGATAAAAGAAAGCTACCAAAGCTTGAAGATGGTACTGCCAATCATGTCCGAAGGGGTTTGACTGTAAGCTTTAGATCTACATGTTCACCACTTATGATTGCAATTTTTCCATTTTCATGTTGATACTATAAATCTACACCTTTTTTTGCAGCCTCGATGGGCCGATTTGGATGTCAATCAACATGTGAATAATGTCAAGTATATTGGCTGGATTCTTGAGGTGATTTTAGTTCCCTATGAACTCAAATTTCCTTATTTTTTTTAAACAAAAAATTTCCACTTGAAGTTTATGCAATTCATATGAGAAATTGGGAAGTCAATGTTGTTGTTACCACACAAATGATATGGTCCTGGAAATACAAAATAGACATGAAATCAATTAACTTGGGATCATTTTCCTTTAGTTAATTGCCTTTAACATTTGATAGATTGACAACGATCAGATCGTAAATTTGAATTCATAGCCCTTAATTCTTTTA